AGTTCCGTTCCGTGTAACAGAAACACTCGGTTTAGCGGAACCTTTACGATTAATTAACCGTGACGTTTTAAAGCGCGGTTAATCGTGAAACCGGTTAATCGCTGCATCCCTATTACAGACGTGACGTAATGACGCAGTGCCTTGCTCGAATTTCCTGCGAAAACCTACCCGTACCACTCAAATTAGAAAACATTATTATAAGCTAACCGTTGTGAATCTGGCTAAAGTAAGGCGATAGTTTTGAACACTGACTGGTTATGTACTTGCTCAAATATTGATTTCGGATCATTTTTAACCAAAAGAAGTTACGGACTGCAGCTTTAATATATAAACAGCATCTTTTTCTGAAATATATACATGCATGTGTGTGTATTTATATATACATAATAAATATACACAGTACACACAAATATGTAAATAAAAACTTTTATTTTGGATGCGGTTAATCACGATTAATCGTTTGACAAACATAATTGGGGAGATAATAGCACCCCCGTGTGGCTGTTTAGTGGATGGTTAATGTATTATTTAATAATTACAGGGGTTTTTTCAACTGCTTACACACAAAATCTTTACTTGTCGTCACACAGTTTCTGAAAGCTGACACTCAAACAGCAGAAGCACACACCAAATCTGCAGAACCATACACTAATTCTCAGCCTTTGGCTCAGTTTTCAATTTTATAAAACACTTTTTGCAAAACACAACACACAATTCTCTATGTAACACACAAACATCTAACAGGAATTGATATTATGGCAAAAGTGTTTGCAAATGTTTGCTTTTGAGATGTGTTTGTGATATTTTGAATGCAGTGCTTCATTTTGCGAAAGATGTGAGGCATTTTGTGTGTGCAATTAGATTTGTGTGTAAAGTTTTGGAAAAACAGAGGCAAAGTTTTGATAATGTGTGTAAGCAGTTGAAAAAAACTGTAATAATATGGGCATTGAAATATTACTGTCAGTAGGTTTTTATCCTCTTTTTTGAGTCTCTTCTTCTCACCAAGGCTGCATTTATTTGATCAAAAATACTTTAAAATTGTGAAATATTATTACAATTTAAAAGAACCATTGTCTATGTGAATATATTGTAAAATGTAATTTATTGCTGTGATCAAAGTTGAATTTTCAGCATCATTACTCCAGTATTCAGTGTCACATGATCCTTCAGAAATCATCACATAAGTGCAGCTTTGGTGAGCAGAAGAGACTTATTTAAAAAACATTACAAATCTTACTGATACTTTTGACTGTGTGTGTGTGTGTGTGTGTATACGTGTGTGTACGTGTGTGTTTCTCTTTATTTATTCCTTCCCTTTTCTAGCTTGTACTTATTTGAACAATATATATATATATATATGGGATATTACAATTAGGCATCACAACATATTCATTCACATTTAAAAATGATATACACAAATAACAATGTTCTGGTGCTTTGAATAATAATAATATAACTGTAATTAGTACAAATAATTATATAATAATTTTAAAATAATACAATATTTTAATAAAAATAAACAAATAATATAAAAAGTATATATATAATTTTTTTTTTACTTTTACATTGACAATAACGAGCATGAATTAATTTTAATTTGATGTAATTAATAAATTACTTCACAGAAACTTCCTGAAAAATATTACATGCAAATCACATTTTAGTACTGCTTGATGACATTAAAGTATTTTAACAGTGATTTGTCAGTTATTTTATTTAAAGAAAAGTTTAAATGTGTTACAAAGAACCACTCACCCTTTTTAAAAGTGTATGTTTAAAAATACTTTCATAATACATAGAATTTACTTATTTCTGTAAGGAAATCAGTTTGTATTTTTCCTGTAATTTCCTCACAGTCTTTAATGATGGCACAGCGAGGACCTTGGTCGGTTTGACTGGAACCATTGAGGTGTTTTATGAAGGTAAGGTACACTATAAAGATAATTGGCCTTTACTTCTGTTTTACGGTCAAGAAAGAGAGTGTTATTACATATGTATATGAATGCACCGAACAAAACACTTCTACACGTTGTGCATCAGGGAAACTCTACAATATTCCAGTGAGTTTGTGGCTGACTTATGAAGGCCGTGTTCAGTGAAGTTCCTCCTCTGCATTTGCGTCTACCCAGAAGATTGTGAGTATTGTTTCCTTATTCGTTCCTCTTCATATCTGTGTAGAGCAGCTTCACTCCTGAATCCCTTCTCTGTCCTTATTACTTCAAGGAAACAGATAAACATGCAGTTTAGACCTAGTTTAGGTGATTTGAAATATGATAAAGTGTCCAAAGGTTGATGTGATTTTATGTTTTGATTAACTGGAAATGACCATTGTGCACCAACACTGTAAAACAACAGAAAAACATGGCATTTTGATACGGTTGCTGCATTGTTTTGTTGTTGCATTTGTGTGGATAATTAGGTAAAATTAACATTTATGTTTCTTTACAGCAGGTTCTGCTTATCAGAAACGCTCAGTTGAGGAAATCTCACACGTGACGCTGGACAGAGAGAGGACGATCTTCCTTTCTCCGAGCTTAATGAAACCGAATATATATATAATAAATATTTACAAAATATATACTGTATGTGTGTGTCTTTATTTCTTTTATTTTGGATGCGATTAATCGTTTGACAGCACTAGTAAATATGCAGATATAAACAGTGGTAAACAAAGATCCCACAGCAGATAAATAACAATCACGTCATATTCACTCACATTTTATGAACAAGATTTATATATATTAAAAAAGACTTGCCAGTGTTGGTTTTGTCTGTGGAGGTTTATGCATAATAACAGTACAATGTGAACCAACCTTAACTATGAGAATGACAAATAAAAGATGATAAAATAGACCACAGGCATTATATATATTTTAAAACGCGTATCATAAAGTATCAATTGTAACGTATGAATGCGTCATTTATTATGTTAAACAGAAACTACTTGCCAGACTTTTATTTTTTAAATCCCAACACACTCCCACCGGAAGTGAAACTGCTGTAGTGACGCTCGCGCCGCTCGTCTTGTTTATCTTCCTTGAGATGAATGCTAGTCGACTTTTCCTACATTTATTGAATTCTCATCAAGTAGCTATTATTTGGAGTATGTTAATGAGTTATTAAGGTGTTTAGAGTGTGTTTGTGTCAGACAGCAGGCGACTGTAAGGGAGTGTTTTGGCCTGGGCTCACACACGCTCGTATATTTCACACATTTATTCTTTTATTTCGCAGGAGTTTAGTGTCTTTATTTATATTTGTGTAATAAATCATGGCTGTGGTCAACGAAGGAGCTCTTAAAAAGATGCTGAAGGTCAGTATCGTGCCTTTTGGTGTTTACTCTTTAATTTGAATAACATTAGTTATATTGAGTGGGGAAGAATATAATGAGCATTTGGTATTATAGTTTCAAAATGAAAAATAATCTCATATATATATATATACACACACTGTAGGCAGGTTATTTGTGTTTACATACTGAGGTATTTGTCATAGGATTATAGTCAAAATAGTTATGCTAATACTTTATAATAACTTTCATTTTGACACATATAACGCTTAACAGATCATTGTTGAATGTACATTTAAATAATTTTATGTGGCATCTTGATTGAATATATTTTCATACAATTGTGATGAAGACATAAGGGATTATAAATAAGAATGTTAGAATATTACGAATATTATTTATGTAAAGAAAATAGTTTTTAGCATCAAGATTTTTTTGTATATTCTTATTTTTGTTAATGTAAACATAATTATAAATGATAAAGTATATTTGTACCATATATTTACGTATATTGCATACTTTTGCCATATAGAATTTTTCTCTGTTTTTTAGCTAAGCTTTATCTTAGTTTTTAGTGATTTTATACTTCGACTTCAGCTTATTTATTTTAGTTAGTTGCAAAGCCTAAAATTGTAATTTTTGTTAAAGTTCAGTTTATCTACTGTATTTGGCAGGTTGTCTGTATTTATGGATGTACTAAAATACTGGATTTCATATGTTTTACCTTTTGAAAGTCAAAATAATTATATTAATATTTTATAATAACTTTAAGAGCATAAGCAAACTTTTGTATATAAAAAAACTGATTCTTATCAAATGCATATTTAAATAATTTGTTATGTCATGTTGATTCAATATATTTTCATACATTTCATTGTGATGAGGCTTTATAATTTTTTGGGAGTTATTTATATAATTTTTTTTATATTCCAGCAATACAAATACAAAGATCTCACTGTCCGAGAGATAACAAACGTCATCTCTCAGTACAAAGACCTCAAACCTGTTATGGATGCATACGGTAAGATTCTCTCATCCTATCTGTGTTTCTTTGAGTTTTCCATCAATAACTGATGCTTCCTTCACAGTGTTTAATGACGGATTGTCCAGAGACTTGATGAGCCTCACAGGAACTGTTCCGGTTAGTTATAGAGGTGGGTTAGAGAACTGCTTATAGTGTTATAGATAAAGGAAGCATTATAACATTCAGCCATGCATGCTTTTCCTGTTTCAGGGAATGTGTACAATATTCCCGTGTGCTTGTGGCTGCTGGATACCTATCCCTACAATCCTCCGATATGTTTTGTGAAGCCCACCAGTGCGATGATGATCAAGACCGGCAAACACATCGACGCCAACGGCAAGATCTACCTGCCATACCTGCACGAGTGGAAGCATGTACAACTCAGGATTATTACATTCTAGTATCAAGATTTTTCCTCATGCCTCATAGAATAAAAATATCACGTTTTATGCTCTTTTCTTTCCTCCTGGCCCGTCAGCCTCAGTCAGATCTGTACGGGCTCATCCAGGTCATGATTGTGGTGTTTGGTGAGGAGCCGCCTGTTTTCTCCAGACCCACCACACAACCTCCTTACCAGGCCTTCCAAGCAGCCGGACCCCCGAACCGTAAGCACGGCTTCATCACAATACAACTGACAAGAAGTGTTATTTTTGAATTACTTGTATAATGTTATAGTATTTATTTATATTTTGAATTAGTTTATTTTTATATTTTCAGTTTTCATTTAAATTTTACTTTAAAATTTGAGTAATTTTGTAGTTTTTTTGTCATTTTTATATGGCTTTAGTCATCGTTTTTATATTTCAACTTCGCTTTCATTTATTTTATTTCAGTTTTAGTTTGTACTTAGTTTGCAATTCTGTTTAGTTAGTTTGAACTTAAAATTATTTCATTTAGATTCAGTTAAATTGAGAAATTAAAATTTTAGTTTCAACTTAATTTTTTTTTTCAATATTTTTATTTTGTCTTTATTTCAGTTTACTTTATTTCTTCTGTTACACCAAATACACAAAATAATGATCTTTAAAATAGCATCATATGACCCCTTTAATACTAAAAATAGACTTAATTTTTTACTTTTTACATTTTAAATTTTTTTTTAAAGGAAACTTAATTGCTTATTTTCTCTTTTGGTTTTGGCAGTTGGACAGAGACATTTCTTGACATGGAGATACTGTATGTCCTTATAGGCTGCATTGTTGTAAAACAGAAACTTTAATCTGTTATGAGGATGTTATGTCCACATATTTTGGGCACTGAAAATTTTGACTTTCATGTGATTTAATTTTTATCTCAGATTACTCATATATTAAATAAGCTTTTCATGATCAATTAACCATTCCCAATTTTCAAAGTAATACCTGTTTTAAACAGCAGATGTCTCCCTGCACCAGTAGTTCATTTAGAAGTGTTTGTTTTGTGTCCTTCTCCTCCTTCCAGAGTCCTATATGCCAGGAATGCCAGCAGTATCTCCCTACGGGCCAAACCCAAACCCCTGGTAATGGCTCCTTCAGTCTGACCAAAGATCACATGCAACAGTCTGATCAACATTTAATAAACCTGTTAAAGTCATTTGTATTATTTCCAGCACTCATGATATGAAAACACTTTGTATAAAAAACTGTGTTGTAATTACAGAGCGTGATTAATTGGTTATGTAATGATTTGTGTCCGCTCCAGTGGTTACCCAGGTTACCCTTACCCAGGAGGCAATGCTTATCCTGCCACAGGCGGTCCAGCACATTACACTTCCCAGACTCCCGTCACTACTGTGGGTGAGTTGGCATGTTTGCCTTTGGCTCAGTTTTTAGTTGCACTACATCATATACAATTATACTGAAAATCGCAGTAATCCTGCAATAAGCAATGTGGATTCCATTTTCAGTCCCAGGTTGTAGGCCCGAGAGCTCATTTTTCAGGTTTGTTCTTAGCCCTCTTTCCATCTGCATTGACCAAATTTAATCTGCATCTGTATGAATGTGAATTTGCAATGTTCTGTCTAAATCTGAGTCTGAGTTCTTTTGAAGTGGCAACACTGAGTATGAAAAAGGGCAGTACTCAGTTGAGTTGGCAGTACTCAGTTTGAATCAGAGCCATTAAATATGAACCTGGGTTAATCTGAATCAGCTGAACTGAAGTGGATTCTGAATTCATTTGAACTGGCAACGTTCAGTCAGTTGATCTGAATCAGCCATACTAAATCTGAGTCACAGTTAAACTAAACTGCTAGAATTTATTTTGAATTTGAATTCATTTAAATTGGCAACAATTCAAGTTGATCTAAATTGACTGCATTCAGTATGAGTATGAGTTAATCTAAATTAACAAACATTATGTCTTAATGTAAATTAATCTGAATTGGAATCAGAGCAATTGTTAGCATTCAGTTTGAATCTGAATTCATTTGATTTTGCAACATTCAATCTGAACCTGAGTTAATCTATATTTGTAGCATTTACTCTGAATTTATATTAGGCAAGGCAAGTTTATTTATATAACACATTTCATACACATGGTAATTCAAAGTGCTTTACATAAAAGGAAGTAAAATAATAATAAAAAAATAATCACAACAATAACACAAGGAATTTAAATACTTTTAAAATGATTAAAAAAAATGATTTTAAATTAATTTAAAACAGTTAAAAATAGAAAATGATTATACATAAAATACAGTGCAATCAGTTCGGACGTAGCACAGTGCTCATTCAGTAAATGCACAGCTAAACAGAGTTTTGAGTCTGGATTTAAATGTGGCTAATGTTTTAGCACATCTGATCTCTTCTGGAAGCTGATTCCAACTGCTGAAAGCTGATTCCAACTGCGGGCGGCATAATAGCTAAAAGCGGACTCCCCTTGTTTTGTGTGAACCCTTGGTATTTCTAACTGACTCGATCCTAATGATCTGAGTGGTCTGTTAGGTTTATATTCAGTGAGCATATCTGCAATGTATTTAGGTCCTTGGCCATTGAGTGATTTATAAACGAGTAAAAGTACTTTAAAATCAATCCTAAATATAACTGGAATCCAGTGTAAGGACCTGAGGACTGGTGTGATATGCTCAGATTTTCTGGTTATAGTCAGAATTCTGGCAGCAGCGTTCTGGATGAGCTGCAGCTGTCCCAAGAATGATTTCATAATTTAGTTTTCTTCTATTTCCTTGGCAAACGCAGCACTAAGATCTAGTAGTACCAGCACTGATATTTTGTCAGAATCAGAATTAAAGCGAATATCATTTATTATCTTAATGAGCGCTGTCTGCGGTCGGAAACCAGATTGAAAATTGTCCAGGTATTCATTTGAGTTTAAATAGTTGTTCAGCTAATTAAAAACTACCTTTTCAATAATCTTGCCTATAAAAGGAAGATTTAATATTGGTCTATAGTTGCTCAATATGGTGTTATCAAGATTGCTCTTTTTCAGAAGGGGCTTAACAACTGCAGTTTTCAGGGAGTTTGGAAAAGTCCCAGAAAGAAGTGAGGTGTTCACCACTTCTAAGAGATCTGCTTCTAAACAGTTAAGCACACTTTTGAAAAAAGATGTGGGAAGTGTGTCAAGATAGCAGGTTGATGATTTAAGGTGCTGTACTATTTCTTTCCAAATTTTGCTATAAATTGCTTCAAAAACAGACATAGTAACTTCTTTTTGAAATTGCAGCCGAATCTGTCTGACCTCTGCATAACTTGAGGATGTGCTAATCGCCTTCCTGATATTATTCATCTTCTCAGAAAAGAAGGAAGCAAAATCATTGCATTTGCTGTCAGAGAGCATTTCACTGGGAATCAGTAGCAAAAAGAGTGCGAGTGTTGTTTAAGTTACTGTTTATAAGGTTTGAGAAGAAACTCTGTCTAGCTGTGGCTAGCTCCACATTGAAAGCACGAAGGCTGTCAGATACTGTAGTGAATTTCAAGTTTCGTCTTCTGCCACATCCGCTCAGCTTTTCTGCATTGTCTTTTCATACTCTGAACTGCTGTTGATTTTCTCCAAG